TAAAAAGGGTTTAATTGGTGGCATAGTAATTTGGTTTAAATTACAGTAATTTCATTTTTAGGGGTTTTGTTTTTAAACGCGTTGCTGAATGATTCACGTACTATCAGCAAGAAGGTTCACTGGAGCTTAATAAAACTAATTTTATGAGTATTGAGTCAAAGGCAGATACACAAACACTAAACACGAGGCTGTGTTCTTTGGTCGCTGCAGCTCTCATTTACAAACGTGTGCCTGTGCATGTGCGCTTTGCGTTTTGTGTGCCCTTGTACTTGTTCCAAAAAAGGCAAAAAAAGAAAAAGCAACAACTTGATTAGGACTCTGTGCTATTTTTAATCAAGCTAGCCATTTAGATTGAAGATAAAGGCCTGAGGCCGCGGCAGAAAGCTTATCATTTGCAGCATATGCCTGTATAGACAATGGGACCTTTTGCAGGCATTGTGTTGAGCTACAATGGCCTTCGGGGAAATGAGTGGCTGTTTTATCAAGCTTTAGTTTGGATAATTATTTTGTGATAACCAAAGTGCTTTTATATTTGTTCATAAATAATCAATTTGTTACTTTTTGACATTCCTGAAAGGTAGTTGTCTAAATGTTTATAAAGTTGTGGGGTTTTTTTTAATTGTTTGTGGATTTTTTTAAAGGTATGCAGTAAAGCCCCACTAAATAACATACACCATCCATCTGCTTTTAACCAGTAACAACAGAAATGCATTGTAATCTACAGTTTACATTAATTCTGTCAGCTTCTTAATCATTTAAAGTCCTATTTAGACGTGGAATGTGTAACATTGGCAGTTTCATTTGTCAAATAAAGGCTTTTGAAACTGAGGTGTCTGTTATGTAATGCTTTAATTATGGTTTTAGTCAGGAGGGGAAAAACAGACGTATGAAAAATGGAAAACAGGTAGCAGTTAGAAAAGTATAGGCGGACTGATATTTTTCTAAAAAAAAAAACAGCAACAGTGGTCAGTTATTGAGGGGTTGGTGGGGGGTGGGGGGTTTAGGATTTAATTCATGAAAAATGCCTGCCCTTTTCTAAAAGACGGCATGGTTGTCACCCTCTCCCTGGAGTGTGGTAACAGAAAGTAGAGGAGTAACCACAGGCATTATACAAAAGACTGACATAGCCTCTGTGACATCACCCACTGCATTGAGAAAAACAGCCTTGAAGCACTGACTTAGTTTTATGTCACTGCCAGCTTTTTGCAGGGGGAGCCAGAAGTGCCCATATTTGGACAAGGGGGAAGTGTGCAAAGTTAGCACAAGCTGCATCCACAGACGTATGTGTCACATAACAATAATTTGGGAAAAATCATACAAAAGACACCAACATCACAAACATGGTTGAAAGGTCCAGTTCAGTGACTTAGGTGAGGAAGTGATCAGCAGACAGCTAGTCAGCACACACCTGTCACTTGGCATTAATGCACAAGCAGCAACAGGCTCTTAAGTATTAACAAGTCGTTTTAAGCCTTCATCAAATTTAGCCCAGCTCTGCAAAAGCAGTCTAGTGGGAAATTAGCCACAGAGACCAGAATCAGCTAAAAACGTGCTATTGTGAGCATAAACATTTGGATCTCTGACCTGCATTTGATTCCCCAAGTTTAGTGAAAATTAACAAAAAAAACAGTCTTTCATACATAAACCATGGCTCTGGGACTCTGGCAATAGATCCTTTGGGCCTTGTGGGCTGAAGGTTGGGGCCTTTGTGGATCAGACTTATTTCAGTTAATATGCAGTGGGATTAGTCTTTGGAAAATCTAGAGGCTGGGTCAACACTCCTTTTGTACCATTTCTTGTGCTCATTGAGTTGTTCAGAAACAGTTTTGACAAGGAGTGTTGTTCTGCAAGAGTAGAGTCTGTCATTACTGCCGACTGTGTCTGGGTTTGCACATGGATTTTAGCACTTTTAAATAAAAGAGCATTAAAGAGCTGATAAGTAGATCCTGTCACTTGAGAGAGGATGTGCTCTCTCAAGTGACACCCAAGTGGCTACATTTTTTAGCACGAAACATTGTTGCATCTCCTCTACAATCCAAATTATTAGCT